GGAGAACTTGCACACTGATGATAGGGAGTAAAGAGTTGTTTTTACTTCTATAAAGGGGAGGGGAGGGGAGGGGAGGGACATAGAGCAAGCAAAGTAGCTCAGCAACTTGAAAAAAAGCACATGGCAATCCCTTTTCAAACCTCCCTGGAGCTTCTCCACATCACGTCAGTGAAAGCCCTGAATTGATTTGGGTTTAACCTTGCTTAAATTACAGTTAGTCTCAAAAAAACAACGACAACTACAACAACATATTCAATTCATAAAAACTTACATTGATACACCGAAAAATTCATGCTCTGCAGTGGACACTGCTACATCAGCAGCCTTCAGTATGGAGATATATACCTTGCGAGATTCCTGATAACCCCAGTGAAGGATATGATCATGGATTCGTCTACAAGCTTCCTCAAAAATACCTAGTGTGTTATGATAGGGATGGCATATAAATTATAATAACAAGTTCCAACAAAATGTTTATCCCTTTCTCAAGACAATTCTGAGTGTTTTACGAGTACCCATAGCTTTTAGATTTTTCAGATTTTGATCTCCTGTTCTAAGCCAGCATATTTATCAATAGCTCAAGCTAGGTGGGGCCTAGAATGGATAAAATCTCAAAGACAATCTATAGCACACAGCCTCAAGCCTGAAGTCTCTCAGTCTATGGAAAACACTGTTCAACCAAAGACAGAGAGATGAAGGGTTCCTCTTACCTTACCTTCTCACCCTCAAATTGTAGAGGTAATCAACTCACTAACAAGTCATGTCCACTTACAGGGTTTTCATTAGAATATGTAATAGATGCATGATTTGAACTGATTAGTTGGCTGACTTGAATTACTCTAACGTAGCAACAGGCCCTTTCTGGTCCCAGAGGCCCAAGGACAAATTCAAACTTTGAGTTGTGATTTCTAGCATTCCAGGACACGGAGCATTCTGGGACACTAAGCATTCTGGGGGAACTAGCATTCTGGGTAACTTTTTTTTGCAAAACATTGATGTTAGAAAATGTTGAAAAATACTTATTTTCTGCTTTGAGTAGGTCTGGTCTGATAATGGGAAGGTTTCTGCCAACTACCACCTTCTCACAACGACTGAGTCATACATGTATGTTCACCCACTGATATGGATTGGGTGCAGTGTACTATTGTGACACAAATACCTGGAGCTTCAGAGAATGTTTCTCCTAATACAGAAACCTTGAAATCCAATCCTTGCTCAGCCAACTGATACAGGGTGCGAAAGAACAACTCAGGACCTTTGTCATGTTCCCTAATAACACCAATAAAAACAATAACTAAAAACAATAACTAAAACAAACTAAATAAATCCAACTTGTACACTGGCCTTTATAGCTAGTGTTAAGTAGTGTGCTTAGTATAACATTTTTTCAGTACAAGAAGTCAAAATAAATGTACAGTTATACTGGATTACAAGATTTGCTTTTTGACCTCTAGGCTCCTCTGTATATTATGATTTTGTTATTCCTACCCATGTCTTTGTACAAAGCAGCCAAAAATAACACTGGCTAAAACTTTTTGGAACACCAAAAAAGAATCTGGTATGAACTGGTTTGTACAAATTTAACCAATCAGCTACCTTTTAACTAGTTAATAGGGTTATCTAATTCAGATCTAAACTAAGATCCATAGAGACTCTAATACTTTAAGTAGTTTTGTTAATTAAATCTAGCTACCCAAAGTTTGGTATAGTAATACATGTAGGAACACCTAGAAAAAAACATCAATGCATACAGCCTATTTGCAGTTTCACTTGCAATGAGAACAAACCCATGCCTTGGCAATTTTGGATCAGTGGTTTAGAATATAGCCACCACAGATATGTAGAGGACACAGTACCTCATGTTTGACTTTTTTTTCATGTTTTACTATGCACACATTGGTACTTCAAAAGTATTTCTGAGTACTGAACCACTGATTCAACATATTATCTGTCTATATCACCACAACATTTTGTAATTTGAAACTTCAGAGTACATGCAGATGAACACTCAATATTTCAGTAATTTTCTTCAATAGGCAATTACATGTACAAATGGTGCAATGGGTCACTGTGATGTAAGGCAAAACCCAAACATGAGAGCCTAAACAGAGGCAGTGAGAGGTCCTATAGGCAGCACTAAACTGCTACTAATGGGCTCTTGTTTAACCCTTCAAACCCAAAGAGTGACTAAAATCTAATTCCTCCCTACAATATCACCCCTGAATTACACATTAAGGTCATGAGAATGAAGGAAATAGTACCCAACAAAAGAAGCTTTTGATCAGTAAACAAATTCTCCTTGTCAGCACCTTAGGAAATGTGTAAAGAACAGTATGGAGAATATGCATTATGATTTTAGGGTCTAAAGGGTTAAAACCTGAGTTTTAATGAGCAGTAAAATTAATGTTATGACATTCTCTACCTTTAAGGAAAGACCAGGTAAAAATCTATTGACATAAACCTACCATCTGTGAGCCCAAACAATATGCAAAGGTCTTGACACTGTTGAGTCCACTGGCTGATCAAGTTCTTCATCTTTAGCATCTAAAGTTTTGTCCAAAAGAATGCTGTTATGTCATCAAGTATCCATTTGTAGATTCAAGTAAGACATACAGAGTATTTACATGGTGTGAATTAAATCTTTCATGCCAAGGCACAACTAAGAAGTAATTTGTCCCTATAATATCCATACACTGTCCAACAAAAGGTGATGATGTTGAAGACAAAATATCTCCTTGCTTAAAAGTACCTTGTCTAAATAGGGATTGGTAAAGAGAGCTGAAATGACAAGTAAGGTATTGTAGATATCAAGGACAATAATTGTCCTTAACATAATGGAAGTAAAGGGGTTTAGAGTTAGTCATGTACATTG